CACTATATCATAATAAAAGGGTCTATCTAACAAGAGGATCCAAAAATTGTAAATATTTATGCCCCTAACTTGGGAGCAGCCTGCTATATAAACCAATTAATAGGAAAATTAAAGAAACACACATTGATAATAGTACAATAACATAGGGGACTTTAACACCCTACTCACAGCAATGCACAGATATCTAAGCAGATCAACAAAGAAACAAGGGCTTTGAATGACACACTGCACCAGATGGCCTTCACAGACATACTCAGTGCATTTCATCCCAAAGTAACAGAATACACATTCTTCTCAAGTGCACACGGAACATTCTCCAGAATAGATCACACAGTGGGTCACAAATCAGGTCTCAACTGGTACAAAAAGACTGAGATCATACCATGCATGTTTTCAGACCACAATGCTTTAAAACTTGCATTAAGTAATCACAAGAGGAAAGTTGGAAGGAACACAAATACATGGAGGTTAAAGAGCATCCTACTAAAGAATGAATGGGTCAACCAGGAAATTAAAGAACTATTTAAAAAAAAAACAAAAACATGGAAACAAATGAGAACGAAAACACAACCGTTCAGAACCTTGGGGATGCACCAAAGGCAGTCCTAAGAGCGAAGTATATACCAATACAAGCCTTTCTCAAGAAACAAGAAAAGTCTCAAATACACAACCTCACCTTACTCCTAAAGGAGCTGGGAAAAGAACAGCAAATAAAGCCTAAATCCAGCAGGAGAAGAGCAATAATAAGGATTAGAGCAGAAATCAATGATACCGAAATTAAAAAAACCCAAAAAAACAAAAACAGTAGAACAGATGACAAGGAAAGTAGGAGCTGGTTCTCTGAAAGAATTAATAAGATCAATAAACCCGGGGTGCCTGGGTGGCTCAGCTGGTTAAGCAACTGCCTTCAGCTCAGGTCATGATCCTGGAGTCCCGGGATCGAGTCCCACATCGGGCTCCCTGCTCGGCGGGGAGTCTGCTTCTCCCTCTGACCCTCCCCCCTCTCTTGTATCTCTCTCATTCTCGCTCCCTCAAATAAATAAATAAAATCTTTAAAAAAAAAAAAAAAAAGATCAATAAACCCCCAGCCAAATTTATCAAAAAGAAAAGAGAAAGGACCCAAATAAACAAAATCATGAATGAAAGAGGAGAAATCACAACCAACACTGAAGAAATACAAACAACTGCAAGAGAATATTATGAGCAATTGTATGACAACAAATTAGGCAATCTGGAAGAAATGGATGCATTCCTAGAAACTTACCAACTACCAAAACAGAAACAAAAATAAATAGAAAACCTGAACAGAGGGGCGCCTGGGTGGCTCAGTCGTTAAGCGTCTGTCTGCCTTCAGCTCAGGTCATGATCCCAGGGTCCTGGGATCGAGCCCCACATCGGGCTCCCTGCTCAGCGGGAAGCCTGCTTCTCCTTCTCCCACTCCCCCTGCTTGTGTTCCCTCTCTCGCTGTCTCTCTCTGTCAAATAAATAAAATCTTTAAAAAAAAAAAAAGAAAACCTGAACAGACCCATAACCAGCAAATAAACTGAAGCAGTAATCAAAAACCTCCCAACACACAAGAGCCAGGGCCAGATGGCCTCCCAGCGGAATTCTACCAAACATTTAAAGAAGAATTAATTCCTGTTCTTCTGAAGCTGTTTCAAAAAATTGAAATGGAAGGAAAACTTCCAAACTCATTCTATGAGGCCAGCATTACTTCGATCCCAAAGCCAGACAAAGACCCCACCAAAAAGGAGAATTACAGAGCAATATCCCTGACAAACAGGCATGCAACAATTGTCTCCAAGATCCTAGCTAATAGGATCTAAGAGTACATTAAGAGGATTATTCACCATGACCAAGTGGCATTTACTCCTGGGCTGCAAGGGTGGTTCAACATTTACTGACTTTCAACAATAGCTTTATTGATATAGAACTCACACTGGACAGCCACATTGCAGAAGAATGAAATCAGGCCTCTTTCTTAAACCATACACAAAAATAAACTCAAAATGGATGAAAGACCTAAATGTGAGACAGGAATCCATCAAAATCCTAGAGGAGAACACAGGCAGCAACCTCTCTGACCTCGGCTGCAGCAACTTCTTGCTCGACAGGCCTTCAAAGGCAAAGGAAACAAAAGCCAAAATGAACTACCGGGACTTCATCAAGATAAAAAGTTTTGCACAGCAAAGGAAATGGTCGTCAAAAGTAAAAGGCAACCTACAGAATGGGAGAAGATATTTACAAATGACATATCAGATAAAGGGCTAGTATCCAAAATCTATAAAGAACCTCTCAAACACCCAAAAGACAAAAAATCTAGTCAAGAAATGGGCAGAAGACATGAATAGATATTTCTCCAAAGAAGACATACAAATGGCTAACAGATATGTGAAAAAATGGCTCAACATCACTCAGCATCAGGGAAATACAAATCAAAACCACAATGAGATACCACCTCACACCAGTCAGAATGGCTAAAATTAACAACTCAGGAACAACAGATGTTGGCGAGGATGCGGAGAAAGGGGAACCCTCTAACACTGTTGGTGGGAATGCAAACTGGTGCAGGCACTCTGGAGAACAGTATGGAGGGTCCTCAAAAAGTTAAACATAGAGCTACCCTATGACCCAGCAATTGCACTACTAGGTATTTATCCAAAGGATACAAACGTAGTGATCTCAAGGGGCACATGCACACCAATGTTTATAGCACCGATGTCCACAATAACCAAAATATGGAAAGAGCCCAGATGTCTATCAACAGATGAATGGATAAAGAAGATGTGATATACAGATAGATAGATAGATATCCACATATCTATCTATATATATATATACAATGGAATATTACTCAGCCATCCGAAAGAATGAAATCCTGCCATTTGCAATGACTTGGATAGAACTAGAGGGTATTATGCTAAGTGAAAGGAGACAAAGAAAGACAAATATCGTATGATTTCACTCATATGTGGAATCGAAGAAACAAAACAGATAAACACAGGGGAAGGGAAGGAAAAATAAAATAAGATGGAAACAGAGAGGGAGACAAACCATAAGAGACTTAACCATAGGAATCAAACTGGCAGTTGCTGGAGCGGAGGTAGGTGGGGGGATGGGGTAACTGGGTGATGGCCACTAAGGAAGCTGCTTGATGGGATGAGCACTGGGTGTTATATGAAACTGATGAATCCCTAAATTCTACCTCTGAAACTAATAACACACCATATGTTAAACTGCATGTAAATAAAAAATTTTAAAAATAAATGAAATCAAAACATTTGTCCTTTTGTGCCTGGCTCAGCTTCTCTCTTTTTAATAATTCAGTGTAAAATAAATTTCTGTTTTATGCATGTAATGTGTTTGTGCTGTGATTCAAAGTTAAACATTTCAGAAAAGAAAAAAGTAGTGATGCAAACTGGAACAAGAATGTTCATACACTCTTTCAAAGGGTTTCATTATGAAACAGAGAAGAGAAACTGGATGCAACTGGAGAGTGATACGGGCTGAGAAGAACGGTTTCATAAAGGTGAGATATTACAGCATATAATGAGACTGGATCTAATGGACAAACAGATGTTTAAGATGGAAAAGGGAGAAGGGACAACTGGAAAAGCAAACAAAGTCCACGAGAAATTGAAAGGGAAGGAGACTCCACATACAAGCAGAGGGACTGGCCTTAGATCAGAGCAGGGACAACTTATCCACTATAATAGGAGGAAAATCTAGATACACCTGGGCTCACCTGGCACCTACATGTGGAAGTACTCTTTGGATTGCTTCTATTTTTCTCAGCCAAAGTTGGGGCCAGAAGAAATCACGAGAGTGAACTGCTGGCTAAAGGTTAAATGTAAGAAGAGGTACATATTGAGATCACAAATGTGCCATTGGTCAGCATGGTTATGGGTTTTCCTGAAGACATTTTTAGCCATTCAGGGCAGGCATCAAGCAAGTACAAACAACACACAACAGATGAGACATCACAGGACTCATAACCTGGGAGTCCTTTATTCACTTGATAAATAATTCTTGTTCATCTACTCTTGGACAAGCACTCTTCTAGACCTGAGGGTATAAAGATGAACAGACAGAAGTGGTCACTGAACACATGGAGGCCGTATTCTAACACAGGAGAGATTTCTAGGATACCTAGTTTACAACAGGCATAATCTTAGCATACCAGTATGTCAGGGCCATCCTGAGAAGGGTATGGGCCTGGACTCACCCACCAACGTGCCCATGATACTCACGCCTAAGAGGAGGCCGCTCTATTGGCATCCCCCTACATGTTTGGACAGTGTTATCAACAGAAATTGGGAAAACGAACTTTGATGATGTTAAAACAGGGGTACTGACTCTTGCCCCATGAGTCGCCAGCCCACTTGGGTCTATTTTGTGGCACAGGGTCTATCTTGTGGCCATTTGCCTTACCTAACAGACTGGCCTGTGAGATGTGCGTCTCACTATAATGCCATCCAGGGATATAGAACAATCTGAGTTATGATGTCCATTGCTACAGAGCAAGAGTTTCAAAGGAGGGGAAGTGAGCAACAGAGTGTGCCCTCCGAAGACGTCTAAGCCCCTGGTCTGGAACACTTGGAGTTAGCCAAGCAACGGACGACAGGAGGGGTGGGGGTGGGGCATTCTGTGTGGCACAGTTGAGAAGGCATGGAGGTTTTGTTTCCACTCTCAAGGTAGGGTCTTGCATTTTAGCGTTTGCAGTCCTTCATGATTACATCAGTCCCTCATGTCAAAAGGCCCTTAGCCAAGGAGCACTGAAGCTGATGCTGTGGAAGGAAGTCGCATAGAAAGGACGCTATCTGAAGGATAACAGATCAGAAAGACTGGAAAGGACATAGCCAGAGGCTATGCCTCTCACAGCTAGGCAGTTGCCACCCTCTATGCAGCCAGCATAGATCTGGAGCTAATGCCTGAGGGTCTCTGTGTCAGGGAGAGCTGCTGCTGATGGACAGAGGCCACACACCATCAACCGATTCACAATGGCCACGTCAGTGGCAGCTCCTTTGAGGCACTTTGCCTCCTCCTTGTCTTCTCTACAGAAATACCAAGTGGTTACCTATGAGGCTGCCAGATTGCTTCAGACTTGGGTTCCCCAAATGAAGGGCTCGAGGCGGGCACTAGTAGTGCCAGGACCTTCGTGTGTCAGGTTGGGGATCATGCTAGTGTTGGTACTGATTTTCCTGCCAAGCATGTACTGTGACCCTGGATCTGTATACTACTCTTCTTATGAAACAGTCATCCCCAAGGGTCTGACAGTCAAGGGAAGGGAAGACCCAGGGGAAAAGGCATCCTATATGCTATTAATGCAGGGCCAGAAACAGGTGATTCACCTGAAGGCGAAGAGAGACTATTTTGTGAATAACTTCCCAGTCTTCAGCTACCACAATGGGGTCCTGGGGCAAGAAACACCTTTCATCTCGTATGACTGTCACTATGAAGGCTACATAGAAGGAGTCCCAGGTTCTTTTGCTTCCCTCAACACCTGTTCAGGCCTCAGGGGCATCCTGATTAAGGAGGGGAAACTCTATGGCATCGAGCCCATGGACACTTCAAAACGGTTTGAACATGTGTTGTACACCATGGCACACCAAGCTCGAGTCTCCTGTAGTGTCACCTCCAAAGGCAGCCAAGTGGTGTCCACCAGCCGGCAACAAGGGAGCAGGAAGCCTCGCAGTCTACAGGCACTGTCCTCCTTTTGGTCACACACCAAGTACGTGGAGATGTTTGTCGTGGTCAACAACCAGCGGTTCCAAATGTGGGGCAGTAACGTCAATGAGACAGTCCAGAGAGTAATGGACATCATTGCTCTGGCCAACATCTTCAGTCGGGAAATAAACACCGAGGTGGTGCTGGCTGGAATGGAGATTTGGACCGAGGGGGACCTCATAGAAGTCCCAGCGGACTTGCGAGTTACACTCAGGAATTTCAACAGCTGGAGACAGCAGAAGCTCTTGCATCGTGTGAAGCACGACGTTGCCCACATGATCGTGGGACATCATCCTGAAGAGGATGTGGGACACGCATTTCTCAATGGTGCCTGTTCAAGAGGCCTTGCAGCAGCTGTTGAAGCCTTCCATCATGAAGACGTCCTCCTGTTTGCAGCGCTCATGGTCCATGAGCTTGGGCACAACTTGGGTATTCAGCACGACCACTCGGCCTGCATTTGTAAAGACAAACGCTTTTGCCTCATGCATGAAAATATCACTAAAGAGAGTGGTTTCAGCAACTGCAGCTCTGACCACTTCTCTCAGTTCCTCCGGGAACACAAAGGGGCCTGCCTATTTAACAAGCCTCGGCCCAGAGGTCGCCTGCGTAGGCAAGCCACGTGTGGGAATGGCGTGTTAGACTACAATGAGGAGTGTGACTGTGGACGTGACTGTGGTAACAACCCATGCTGTGACCTAACATGTAGGCTAAAGGAAAAAGCAAAGTGTAGTCCTGGGCCCTGCTGTAATGACACGTGTCAATATTCAGTAAAGGGATCCATGTGTCGTCCTTCTTCTGGAGAGTGTGACCTCCCAGAATATTGTGATGGTACCTCTGACAGATGCCCCACCAACACATACAAGCAAGATGGTACATCTTGTCAAGGAGTTCACTATTGCATTCAGGGTGTGTGCAAGACCCCTGATCTTCAATGTTTAAGTGTTTTTGGATTCCCTGCAAGGTCTGCCCCAGAAGACTGTTACATTCACATGAACACTAAAGGGGATCGGTTTGGAAACTGTGGCCTTCCCACTTCAGGTAACCAGGAATATGTTAAGTGTACAGGTGAAAATATATATTGTGGGAAAATTATATGTACAAATGTTAAAAATGTACCATCGATCAAACCCATGGAAACAATGATCCAGGTCCCTCATAAGGATGACTGGTGCTGGAGCATGGATGCCTATAATTATACTGATATCCCTGATGATGGTTATGTGCAAATTGGCACACTTTGTGCCCCAGAAAAAATCTGTATGAATAACTCCTGCATCAATCATGATGTGCTCAACTACGATTGTGATACAAAAGAGATGTGTAATGGGAGAGGAGTTTGCAACAATTTAAAGCACTGTCATTGTGACGCTGGCTATGCTCCACCTGACTGCAAAACCGTAGGAACTGGGGGTAGCGTGGACAGTGGCTCTCCTGTTGTACAACGGGAAACCGAAAACACTAACAATGTTGCCAAACATGAAGATGGTTACCTAGACTATATGATCATATTATTTTTAATACTTTTTTCCCTAATATTAATAATCATAATTGTTTGTGTCATCATCATGTGTAAACGTTCAATAGAAGCTTCTCCAGAGCCCACAGAAAAGGGTCCAGAAGAGGCTGCAGTAAAGCCCCCAGAAGAGGCAGCGGAAGAGGCTCCGCCAGAAGAAGAGGAAGAGGAAGAGGAAGAAGAGGAAGAGGAGGAAGAGGAGGAAGAAGAGGAAGAAGAGGAAGAATCAGAGCCGTAAGAGAAGTGGTAGCAGGAAGAAGCTAAATATATCAAACATCTCAAGCACTGAGTGGGAATGAGAGGTTCAGGGAAGTAAGGGTGAAGCGGGAATTGATGGCTCCACTGGCTCTGAATAGAAACATACAGTCTATGAAAATATACTAATGTAGGAGGAGGGATTCATCTATTTTTATTATTCATTTTAGTAATTAAGGTTTTATTTATTTAATATATTAAATATTTTACTTTTTCTTTTCCACATTTCATTTGAACTCTTCACATGCATCTGTAGACACCAGTGTCTTTGTCTTGGGCCGATTTTTCCATTCACCAGTAACTTCTTTAGTACATGCTATCTTTCATCTAAGTTGTTTGACATATGCTACCACATTTACTTGCATTTATTACTTTCACTTTGCAAGTAACCACTACCTATTATGAAGACAGTTGTTTATGTGATCATTTTAATTTGCCTTATAAATGTACATTCATGAAATGAGTGTTTAAATACAAAAATAAATAAAACCCTATTCAGATTATATATCTCTTCAGATTGCACTTGTCATAGTTATTGAGTCCATTTTGTTCTGGGACTCTGTGGGATGTACTATACCTGGGAAGCCAGAAAACCCTGATTGTCCCAAGGTCAAGGGGCAAGTGTTAAATTCATGTACCTTTTCAAACCTGGCAGATGTTTAACATGATGTATGTATATCCAATTTATTACTTCCCAGTATTTCCAAGAACTTCGTAGAGCCATTCTCCCTTTCACCCAAAAGGTTTCATTTCTTTTTCTTCTAGAGCAGATTTCATAGCCTTTACTCTTCACTAATCTTCATGGGATGAATTTCAGACCTCCAAATGTCTCATGTCTGATGAACATCACCTAGACTTAGAAAACTGTATTTATGCTTATAACAGTATACAGATTCCAACCTACCACTATTTTTTTTGTTTAAGTGTTTTTGGATTCCCTGCAAGGTCTGCCCCTTTTCTATTTTTTTAATTTATTGAAATTAATAACTTGTTGACTGACATCAAAAGGAATCTCTCCAATTACAGGTAATGGAGCTTAGAGGTGATAGATACTTCTCTGTGAAGAAGCACAAAGCAAGTATAATATTAATGTTATTCATTCTGTGGCAGGAACTGTGTAAAATACTTTGCATTCATTTTCTCATCTTAATCCTCCCAACTTCCCCATGAAACCTCTATCTTGTTCATGAGGAAGCAAAGAAAATTTGCTCCAGAACTGGTCAGTGGTGGAACCTGCATCACTCCTCAGGTATGACTCAATCTCCATTCTCCACTCCGTCATGGGCCTCTTCCTGTGGTAAAAAGTGATGGGGAAGGCACTCAATATGTCCCTAGTTGACCTCTATTCTGAGTTCTCAAATCGTGTAATTATTATCGACAAAAATGTCTTTTTTTTTTTTAAAGATTTTTAAAAATTTATTTATTTGACACAGAGAGAGAGAGAGCGAGAGAGGGAACACAAGCAGGGGGAGTAGGAGAGGGAGAAGCAGGCTTCCCACCGCACAGGGAGCCCGATGTGGGACTTGATCCCAGGACCCTGGGATCATGACCTGAGCCAAAGGCAGATGCTTAACGACTGAGCCACCCAGGAGCCCCAAAAATGTCTTTTCTCCTATTACATCTTGACATCATGGAATAGCAGGTTGTCATCCTATTCAGTACTTGGAGTCAGCATATTGTAAATGATTAACAAATGTCTATCATGTGAGTAATTAATTGGAGCTAACCTTAAAATACAGGTCCAGATTCATTCCCTTGGCAGAATGCCTCTTGCTACTCCTTAACACAACCAAAATCTTACTCAGATGCAGTATTAATATTAAACATTTCTAAAAATTATTCATTGGCGGGGGCGGGGGAAGAGAGGGAGGGAGAGAGAATCCTAAGCAGACTCTGCTGAACTTGGAGCCCGACAGGGGGCTCTATCCCAGGACCCTGAGATCACGACCTAAGCTGAAACCAAGAGTCAGATGCTTAGCCAACTCTGCCACCCTGGGGCCCTGATTGCTAAATATTTATAAATCATCAAGTAAATAATAAAATGTTTATAAAATCTTGAATTCCAGGAAATGAAGACTGAACCACATTAGGGTAGACTATGGTAGGGGAGGAGGCCAGTTTTAATGTGGGCAGGAGAAAGCAGTTAGATGAAACTTGGGTTGTGAAATCTCCCCGTTGAAAGGTCAGTTTCTTGTGAAGTTTGGGTGACAACAGTTCTGCATTGTGTGTGACTGCCTCTAGGAAGTACACCATTTCATCTGATTCCTCTCCCCATTACATCTGGGGGATTCTGATGAATGTTTGCCTGTTCCAATCATTTGTGTCAGCAGTCACCAGCCACCTGCTCCCCTAAAACCTCTGATGGTGACTTACTGCTTTTACCTGTCTTTCCCGCGCAGCTATTGCCCTCTCTGTGCTGCCTCAGGCCAGCAGAGACCCAGGCCCTTCCCTTAATTCCTCAAAGCACAGCCACATCCAGGCTCTACATTTTTATCCATATTTTGGAGCAAAGGGAAATTACAATGTGGAAAAAGAAAAATTTGGATTGCTGCAGATATGTATTAATGCTCCTGGAGTCCAGGGATTTTGCCCTGTTGGTAGAGTTAGATAGGCCATTTCTCTCCTCAGACCTGACCCAACATCCTCTCTTGTTCCTATAGGACTGCTTGTGAGAATATCCTTGTTGCCTGGAGTCAGACTCCACCACATTCTCTGGGGCCCAGTGAGAGGGGAAAGAAATTACTTTAAAAATAATTTACAGAAAACCCAGATCACATCATAATAACCTCACATGAATGTAATTATGCCCACAATAAAGACAAAGTATGAAATTAGTTTGATGAAAATTTAGCTTTTTGTACGTTCAAACTTCATTTTTTTTTTAGATTTTATTTATTTATTTGAGAGAGAGAATGAGACAGAGAGAGAGCATGAGAGGGGGGAGGATCAGAGGGAGAAGCAGACTCCCTGCTGAGCAGGGAGCCCGATGCGGGACTTGATCCCGGGACTCCAGGATCATGACCTGAGCCGAAGGCAGTCGCTTAACCAACTGAGCCACCCAGGCGCCCCAAACTTCATTTTTTTTTAAGATTTTATTTATTTATTTGACAGAGAGAGACACAGCGAGAGAGGGAACACAAGCAGGGGGAGTGGGAGAAGGAGAAGCAGGCTTCCCACCGAGCAGGGAGCCCGATGTAGAGCTCAATCCCAGGACCCTGGGACCATGAACTGAGCCGAACGCAGATGCTTAATGACTGAGCCACCCAGGAGCCCCTCAAACTTCATTTTTAAGCTTATTTTTATTGAAATATAATTGATATATAACATTACGTTAGATTCAGATGCACAACATAATGATTCGTATTTGCAAATATTGTGAAATGGTTACCACAGTAAGTCTAGTTAACATCCATCACCACAGTTATAATTTTTTTTTCTTACGATGAGAACTTTTAAACCATCTTAGCAATTTTCAAATACATAGTACAGTATTAATTAGTCATCATGCTGTATATTATATCCCCAGGACTTATTTATTCTAACTGAAAGTCTGTACTTCTTGGCCACCTACACCCATTTCACCAACCCTCTCATCCCCTGCCTCTGGCAACTTATTTGTTCTCTGTGTCTATATTTTGCTTGTTTTAAATTCCACATACAATTGAGATCATATGCTATTGGTCTTTCTCTAGTGACTTATTTTACTTATCAGAATTCTCTCAAGGTCCATTCATGTTGTTATAAATGGCAAGATTTCCTTCTTTTTTATTGCTTAATAATAGTGTATATATATATTATGTATAATATATATATTTTTTTCTTTATCCATTCATCCAATGATAAACACCTAGGTTGCTTCCATGTCTTGGCCATTGTAAATAATGCTGCATGAATATGGAGGTGCAGATATCTTTTCAATTTTGTGTTTTTGTTTCCTTTGGATAGCCAGTAGTGGAATTACTAAATCATATCATAGTTCTTTTTTTAATTTTTTGAGGAACCTCCATAGTGTTTTTTCATAATGGCTGCATCAATTTACATTTCCACCAACAGTGTACAAGGGTTCCCTTTTGTCCACATCCTAGCCAACACTTGTTATTTCGTGTGTTTTTGATAATAACCATTCTAACAGGTGTAGGGTGATAGCTCATTGTAGTTTTGATTTGCATTTCCCTGATGATTAGTGATACTGAGTTCCTTTTCATAGACCTGTTCACCATCTGCTATGTCTTCTTTGCAAAAATGTCTATTCAGATGCTCTGCCCATTTTTTAATTGGTTTGTTTTATTGCTATTTAGTTGTAGGAGTTCTTTATGTATTTTGGATATTAACCCCTTATTAAATACACAATTTGCAAATATTTTCTTCCATTCAGTAGTTGCCTTTTCATTTTGTTGATGGCTTCCTTTGCTGTGGAAGCTTTTATTTTTATTTTAGATTTTATTTAAATTCAAATTAGTTAACATATAGTGTAATATTAATTTCAGGGGTAGAATTTAGTGATTCATCACTTGCATATAACATCCAGTGCTTGGGGCGCCTGGGTGGCTCAGTTGTTAAGCGTCTGCCTTCGGCTCAGGTCACGATCCCAGAGTCCTGGGATCGAGCCCTGTATCGGGCTCCCTGCTCAGCGGGAGGCCTGCTTCTCCCTCTCCCACTCCCCCTGCTTGTGTTCCCTCTCTCGCTGTGTCTCCCTCTGTCAAATAAATAAATAAAATCTTTAAAAAAAAAAAATCTTAAAAAAAAAAAAAAAACATCCAGTGCTCATTCCATCAAGTGCCCTCCTTAATGCCCATCACCCATTTTACTCAGTGCCCCCACCCACCTCCCCTCCAACAACTCAGTTTGTTCCCTATTGTTTTTTTTTAAAAAGATTTTATTTATTTGAGAGAGAGAGAGATCGAGAGAGCATGAGCCGAGGGGGGTTGGGAGGGTCAGAGGGAGAGGGAGAGAAGTAAACTCCCTACAGAGCAGGAAGCCCAATGTAGGGCTCCATCCCGGACCCTGAGATCATGACCTGAGCTGAAGGCAGACACTTAACCAACTGAGCCACCCAGGTATCCAGTTTGTTCCCTATTGTTAAGAGTCTCTTGTGCTTTTACTCCATTTTTAATCTTACCTTACTTTTCCTTCCCTTCCCCTACATTCATCAGTTATCTTTTTCTTTTTTTTTTTAAGATTTTATTTATTTGACAGAGAGAGACACAGCGAGAGAGGGAACACAAGCAGGGGGAGTGGGAGAGGGAGAAGCAGGCTTCCCGCTGAGCAGGGAGCCCGATGTGGAGCTCAATCCCAGGACCCTGGGACCATGACCCGAGCCGAAGGCAGACGCTTAACAACTGAGCCACCCAGGCGCCCCTTTCAGTTTTGTTTCTTAAATTCCACATGAGTGAGATCATATATTTGTCTTTCTCTGACTTATTTTGCTTAGCGTAATACCCTCTAGTTCCATCCATGTTGTTGCAAATGGCAAGATTTCATTCTTTTTGGTGGCTGAGTAATATTCCATTGTATATATATATACACCACATCTTCTTTATTCATTCATCAGTTGATGGACATCTGGGCTCCTTCCATAGTTTGGCTATTGTGGATAGCGCTGCTTATAAACATTGGGGTGCATGTGGCCCTTGAGATCACTATGTTTGTATCCTTTGGATAAATACGTAATAGTGCAATTGCTGGGTCATAGGGTAGCTCTATGTTTAACTTTTTGAGGAAGCTCCATACTGTTTTCCAGAGTGGCTGCACCAGCTTGCATTCCCACCAACAGTGTTAGAGCGTTCCCCTTTCTCTGCATCCTCGCCAACATCTGTTGTTCCTGAGTTGTTAATTTTAGCCATTCTGACTGGTGTGAGGTGGTATCTCATTGTGGTTTTGATTCGTATTTCCCTGATGCTGAGTGATGTTGAGCATTTTTTCACATGTTGTTTTGTTGTTGTTGCTGTTGTTTTTAATTTGACAGAGAGAGACACAGCGAGAGAGGAAACACAAGCAGGGGGAGTGGGAGAGGGAGAAGTGGGCTCCCTGCTCTGCGGGGACTCAATCCCAGGACCCTGGGACCATGACCCGAGCCGAAGGCAGACGCTTAACAACTGAGCCACCCAGGGATCCATCACCTGTTTTTACTGCTGGGTTGAAAGTCTCACTTTGTTCATGCGTTATTCTTTTGACCTCAGTGAGCATCTTTATGACGGTTATTTTGAATTCTCTATTAGGTGAATCATATATACCTCCATTTCATTAGGGTTTGTTTCTGGAGATTTATTTGAAACTTATCTGCCTGATTCTTCAACTCCTTGACTCTTTTTGTTGTTGTCTGTGTATTAAACAAAGTGGGCATCTCAGTCTTCATGGGCTGGCCTCATACAGAAAACCTCCACTGATCAGTCTAGCCAGAGATTCTGGGCATCTCTACCAACTCTTTACCTCCTTCAGGGAGCAGCAGGAAGCTATGTTTTTGTCTCCTTACTCTGTGCTAAGCCAGAGGGAGGAAGTATGGCATCCATCAGTCCAAACCACCATCTCTGTTCTCCACCAGGTGGATATACTGCGTCAGATCATCAAGGTTCTAAGTCCAGCAAGACTGATGCCAGTTTTGGGGCAATCCTAGAAAAGTTGGGGCATATGATATACAGATTAACTCTTTCCCTCCTCAAGGAGAAGCTAAGCTGGGATTTTTCATCTTCTCATTCTGTGCTGAGCAGGGGGAAGATACTATGATGTCTACCAGTCCAAATTGCCATCTCTGTTCTCCCCCAGGGAAGCTAGGCTGTGCAAGTCCCATCAGAGCTCCAATACTGTCATGACAAAATCTAGTCCTCTGGAGAGCCCCCTCAGAAAATCTGGGTGCTGGAAATGCAAACCAACCCCTTCTCTCCCATGGAAGAAGCTGGGAGCTGGGGGGCAGAGGTCTCTTTCTGATCATATAGCATTATTACAAGTGTAGGGATCCTGGCAAGAAGGTGTCCTCAATCTATCAGCAATCAGAGTCTGGATGCATGTTCACTTGGGGTGCAGGAGACTTTCAATTAGTATCTGAATTTCTCAAAAAGGGAATCTATGAAATGTTGCTATATATGTTTGTTTCTGAGGGGAATGAGGGTCCAGGACTTACTATTCTGCCATCTTGCTAATGTCCTCTTAACCAATTGTTTATTACAAAATTCATGATTTTTTTCATCACTGATTTTTACAGTTGTTCAATGGGCATAAGAGAAGAATATGCACTTTCTATAGGAAGCAAATATCATATATGTGTACATAAAATATCAAGCTTGTTGTTTCTATTATATTTTGTGTATATACCATTCTTTATTATTTATTGTACTGGCAAATTCTGAAAGATATATACTGTATTTAAAACTTCCTCTTAAATTATGTTTTTATCAGCTGTTCCTTATATTTCTTTTTTTTTTTTAAAGATTTTATTCATTTATTTGACAGAGAGAGAGCACAAACAGGGGGAGCAGCAGGCAGAGAGAGGGGGAGAAACAGGCTCCCTGCCGAGCAGGGAGCCCGATGTGGGGCTTTATCCCAGGATGCTGGGATCATGATCTGAGCCGAAGGCAGATGCTTAACCGACTGAGTCACTCAGGTGCCCCTGTTCCTTATATTTCTAATAGATTTTTAAATGTCTTTGGCACTTGTGTGTGTTTTTTTTTTTAAGATTTTATTTATTTATTTGAGAGAGAGAATGAGAGAGAGAGAGAGCATGAGAGGGGGAGGGTCAGAGGGAGAAGCAGACTCCCTGCTGAGCAGGGAGCCCGATGCAGGACTCGATCCTGGGGCTCCAGGATCATGACCTGAGCCGAAGGCAGTTGCTTAACCAACTGAGCCACCCAGGCGCCCCACTTGTGTTTTTTTTTTTAAACTTATTTTGAAATAATTCATAGGAAATTACAAAGATAACATAGAAAGGTCATATATACCTTTCACTGAGCTTTTCCCCTTCGATACAGAAGAATATCACAACCAAGACACTGACATTGATAAAATGTAAATAGTTCTATGCCATTTTGTAATAGGTGTAGATTTCTGTAACCACCACCATAATCAAGATAGAGGACTATTCTGTCATCACAAAGTTCTCACTCATGCTACCCCTTTATATAGTCATACCACCATTCCTAGCCCACCCCACTATCCCTAACCCCTGGCAAACACTGATTTGTTTTCCATCTTTATAATTTTGTCATTTCAAAAATGTTATAAAAATGGAATCGTACAGTATGTAACCTTTTTTTTAAAGGTTTTCTTTTTTTTTTTTTTTTTTTAAAGATTTTATTTATTTATTTGACAGAGACAGAGACAGTGAGAGCAGGAACACAAGCAGGGGGAGTCGGAGAGGGAGAAGCAGGCTTCCTGCCGAGCCAGAAGCCCAATGCGGGACTCGATCCCAGGACCCTGGGATCATGACCTGAGCCAAAGGCAGTCGCTTAACCAACTGAGCCACCCAGGCGCCCAGTATGTAACCTTTTAAGATTGCTTTTTTTGCTTACTATAATGCCCTTGAGATCCAGCTAAATTTTGTGGATCAATGGTTCATTCGTTTTTGCTGCTAATACATGATATGGACTTACCACAGTTTAACCTTTCACCTATTGAGCAACACTTCGGTTGTTTCCAGTTTTGGGCTATTACAAATAAAGCTGCTGTGATTATCTGTGTACAGTTTTTATGAAGATACATTTTCATTTCTCTGGGATAAGTATCTAGAACCATAATTGCTAAGTCACACCATTTGCTTAGTTTTTTAAAGAAGCTGCCTGTTTTCCAGAGCTGTTATACAATTTTATATTCCTATTAGCAATGTATGAAAGATCTAGTTTCTCTGCGACCTCACCAACATTTGACATTGTCTATTTTTCAAATTTTAGCTGTTCTAATAGATCTGTAGTGATCTCTCATGGGGTCTTAAGTTGCATCTCTCTAATGCCTATTAATGTTAAACATCTTTTCATGTGCTTATTTGCCATCCATATATCCTGTTGAGTGAAATGTCTCTTCGTCTTTTGCCTATTCTCTAATTGGATTGCTGAGTAATGAGAGTTCTTTATATATTCTAGATGAGTCCTTTATCAGATATGTGGTTTGCAAATATTTTCTCCCAGTTTTTAGCTTGTCTTTTCATACCTTAACAGGGTCTTTTATAAGTTAAGAGTTTTGGGGTACCTGGGTGGCTCAGTCATTAAGTGTCTGCCTTCGGCTCAGGTCATGATCAAGGGGTCCTGGGATCGAGTGCTGCATGGGGCTCCCTGCTCATGGGAAGCCTGCTTCTCCCTCTCCTACTCCCCCTGCTTGTGTTCCCTCTCTCGCTGTGTCTCTCTGTCAAATAAATAAATAAAATCTTTGGGAAAAAAAAAAAAAAAAAGAATTCATCACCAAGCCCTAGGTCCTAAAGATGTTCTATATTTTCTTCTAAAAAGTTTTATAGTTTTACATTTTACATTTAAATCTATGATCCATTTTGAGGTGATTTTTGTATGTGAGGTTTAGGTTGAGGTCATTTTTTTTGGTCTATATGTATCTAGTTTTCCAGTACCATTTGTTGAAAAGACTGTCCTTCCTCCATGCAGTTGTTATTGCTCCTCTGTCAAAAACTAGTTGGCCATACATGTGTGGGTTCTCTTTTCTGTTTGCTTGATCTATGTATCTATCCCATCATCAATACCACACAGTTTTCAAATTGAAAAGAGGGGTTCCTCCTATATGTTATTCTTCTCCAAAATTATTTTAACTGTCCTAGTTCCTTTGCCTTTTAGAAAATTTATATTTACATTAATATATATTTTATATGTAAATAAATACTTCATAGTACATACATATATCAAGTCAGCATGTTGTATGCTTTCATATAAATGCCATTTTATTCATGAATTATATACTTCAATAAAGCTGGGAGGTAGTTAAAGAGAAAATAGATGAAAAACTTGATAGAAAAGGGGGGAAAGACATGAACAGATAATATTAAAAGATACAAAAATGACCTTAAACATATTTAAACATGTTCAAATTCATTCAAATTAGAAAAATACAAGTTAAACTACACTGAGATGCCACTTCTCACCTATTAGTTTGGTGAAAATTAAAATTTATGGTAACATACCCTGTTGCTTACAATGTGGGAAAATAGGCACTCTAATACATTCTAATACATTGCTGGTGGAAATGCAACTGGCAAAACCCTTTTGAAGGGGAATTTGAAAATACCAAACAAAGCTACATTTACAGTTAGTTACAGAGGCACTGCTTCCCCATTTTGTGGAGGAACTTGCCTCCACAAAAATACATATGTGCAAGATTATTTGTTGATGTATTGTGTGTAATTTCAAAACAATATAAACAATTGAAAAGCCCATACACAAAAGAGTGACTGAATAAATAATATCCACAAAATGGAGTACTATGCAGCTGTAAAAAGACAGAGAGAGAGAGAGAGAGAGAGAATGAGGAATATCTCACTGAACTGCTATGGAATGATTTACAGGATGTATCTTTAAGTTTAAAGAGGAAAATGCAAAATGTTACACTACATTTATATAAGAAAGAAGAGGATAGAGGCACCTGGATGGTTCACTTGGTTAAGCATCTGCCTTCAGGTCAGATCATGATCCCAGGGTCCTGGGACTGAGCCCCACATCAGGTTCCCTGCTGAGCTTCTCCTCTCTGCTTTTCCCTCTCCCTCTGCCCTTCCCCACCACTCGGGCTCACTCTCTTGTGCATGCTCTCTCTCTCAAATAAATAAATAAAATCTTTGAAAAAGAGAGAGAGAGAGAGGAGGATACAAGAAAATATACATGCATCTACTAATTTGTGCAGAAAAAATACAGGAAAAATAAACTAAGTACTATTAAGATTGGTGGTTGGGAACTGGGTAGAAAGAAGTAGTACATGGAACAGATTAAAGGCTCAAGGAGGTGTACTCTGCATACTTTTCTTTGGTATACTACTGAGTTTTATTTTTTATTTTATTTTATTTTATTTTTTAAAGATTCTATTTATTTATTTGACAGAGAGAGACAGTGAGAGAGAGAACACAAGCAGGAGGAGTGGGAGAGGGAGAAGCAGGCTTCCTGAGGAGCGGGGAGCCCGTGCGGGGCTCGATCCCAGGCCCCTGGGACCACGACCTGAGCCAAAGGCAGACGCTCAACAACTGAGCCACCCAGGTGCCCTGGTATACTACTGAGTTTTAGAATCATGGTAATATTTCACATTTTCCCAAAATCATCATCATCCAAAAGGTGGGGGAAAACCCAAAATGAAATACAAACAGTAACATATGAACTTAGCTGTATTCAAAATGAATAATACCACCATGATATCTAGAATAGGTCTAGATAAAAAATTATAACCTAGATAATTTTAGAAAACATTATTTTGACCTCATACCATAAGGCTAAAGAGAAAAAAGAACTGAACACAAATACTGTTCTCCAGTTCATATATTTGCTTTTCACAGAGGCATGGGTTATTCTAATACTTTACATGTATTCTAGGAATAAGCCAATAAACATATTGTGAATAACAAAGAAAGAAAAAGGAACTGGAGGTTTGCAAAGGGCTGAATGGTTCAGAGTAGGGATGGTGCAAAATGTGACCTACCCAGAGATCTACAAACCCCTGCTCTGGAAACCTTTGGTTTCTTTTCTTTTTTTAAATTTTCTCTATTTATTTGACAGAGAGAGAGACACAGTGAGAGAGGGAACACAAGCAGGGGGAGTGGGAGAGGGAGAAGCAGGCTTCCCGCGGAGCAGGGAGCCCGATGCGGAGCTCAGTGCGGAGCTCGATGTGGAGCTCGATGTGGAGCTCGATGCAGAGCTCGATCCCAGGACCCTGGGATCATGACCTGAGCCAAAGGCAGACGCTTAACGACTGAGCCACCCAGGCGCCCCTGGAAACCTTTGGTTTCAATGACTCAAAAGAACAATGAATGACAGGAGGGGAAGACTTCCATGGGGACTGGGAATAAAGGAAGAAGGTTATAGCTTTTTCTTTTCTTGGGGCCTGATCCTGAGTCATAATACTGACAGGACCTCTGAAAGTTTCCTCTCCTTGGTATACTCCTCTATGAAGATAGCAGGAGCTCAGCTAAGCAGTACTAAAATTTTGTGCTTTCATGAAGGTTGCAAAGTAAGAGCACTCCTGTGAAGAGAGACCACAACAGGAGTAGGAAGAGGCACAGTCAAACAATAGATGTCATCTTGTAACTCCCAGGGTGGGAGCAGCTATCCTTGCAACAGGCAGCAAAGCCTTGAGCTTTAGCCAAACTGTGTTACTGACAAAGATTCGGATCTCAGGCAAGGCAACTGAGACAGAGGTGTAGGACCATTAGTTGTTTCAACTGGGCCATGACAATGACAACCCCAGTTACTTTGCCTCCCTTATGCACTTCCTTCTATGAAATCAAGTGGTCATGGGTAAGGTTTAGAGTGATTTTTCTTCCAGGAGTTCCTGAATGGGGCACTTGAGAATGAGCCCTTCCTACATTAAGCTGCATGTCATCTTATTGCTGATAGTGAATATTCTTCAAGGGATGCATTGTAAATGGAAATCTCTTTATTATAAAATGGTCATCCCTAGCAACTTGACGATATTCAAAGGACGGGAAGAAAAAGCAGAAAAAGTGTCCTATATTCTGCTCATACAAGAAAAATGGCCTATTATTAATTTGAAGCAAAAGAAAGGATTATTTATCAAGAACTTCCCTGTTTATACACATCAAAATGGGATACTAGGCTTGACATGCCTTTTATTCAGGATGACTGGATGTTTAGAGGGTGACCTGCATTCTCTTGTGACTATTAGCACTTGCTCAGGGCTATAAAGGGAGTCCTGACTTTACATGACACTGTCTTTGGCATCAAGCCTGTATATACTTCAAAGAATTTTGGGCATATGGTTTTCAGCATATCTTTAAAATCAGGTTAGTCTTGTACAATGAGTGGAGATAAACAGGAGAAGCTCTTAACCACTTCACAATTTCAGAGCAAAATAGAGCCCTCTTCCTTTTCAATGTCCTATATGTGGTCACTTTCCAAGCATGCTGAAACATTTACTGTGGTTGACAATATGCAGTTCCAAATGTGGAATAATAATGCTACCAAGACAATACAGATGGTAATGAATGTTCAGGTTAACAGGTACAAGAAGAAATTAAATGTGACAGTATTACTGGGTTAAAGATATGGACAGAGAGAAACCTAGTGAAAATCTCCCTGAATTCGCAAGAAACACTACAAAATTTTAACTGCTAGAGAGACTGGCATCTTTTGAGAAGAGTGAAGCATAATGTTGCTCATATGGTCATTAGCCAAGGTCTTGGGAAGTACCAGAGCCATGCATTTCTTAGTGGTATCTGCACTGCTAAGAATTCAACCAGTGCTGAATCTTTCTGTCATGGAAAATATACCACATTTCACAGCTCTTATGGCTCACAAGCTTGGCCAAAACTTGGGAATGAAGCATGACCATGTGACCTGCAAGTGTCATGGCCAGAACCTCTGTCCTGTGCATGAATTTCTTACTATAGATATGGGTTTCAGCAACTACAGCTTTGACTACTTCCACCGGCTGTTGCATAAGCATAGAGGGTACTGCCTGTTCAAAAAAACCTGAGCTCCAAAGCTCCTTTGGAAAGCCATATTGGAAAAAAAAAAAAAAAAAAAAGAAAGTAGATAAAGGAAAAGAATGTGATTGTGGCAGTGTCCTTAATTATTAAAATGATCACTACTGTCTGCCCTCATGCCAGCTGAAGAAAGGTTCAGACTGCACATTTGGGATCCTTCTATAAAACCAGCAAACTTCTACACCCTGCTGCCTCAGAGTAGATGAGTGTGACCTCCCGGAACACTGTAATGGTATTTCCAGGTGGTGCCAGACAGATACCTACAAGCAAGATGGCATTCCTTACAAAGAACAAGGTTACTGTTACCAGGGCTGGTGCTGAAGCGTGGAGAATCATTGTGTTAAAATCTTTGGAAAAGGCACAAAGGTTGCCTGGAAAGTTGACATCATTACATGAATACAAAAGGGACAGGTTTGGAAACCATGGCAGTGAATCTAAGGGGATGATTAAGGTCTTCAGTAAGTGCAAGGCCAAAGATGCACAATGTGAAAGGCTGCTGACTGAATTAAGAAACATCAAACACTGACCCACTTCCCCATGTGGGACATGTGGTATTGGGGTGCAGAGTTTTTTGAAGCCTCAGACAGAGCTGATGAGAGGGATGGTACCCAACGTGGTTCACAGATCTGTATTAATCAAACCTGCTCATATACCACTAAGTGGAATATAGATACCACTATATTCCACTATGACTACAACCTGGACAAGTGTCATTGCAACAATTTTATGAATGTCACTGTGTCTATATCTATACCCCTCCTACATGTGAATCTAAGGGTTATGGGGACAGTTTGAATAGTGGCCCAGCTCCATGTGTCCCCTCTGACTCTCAGTATGACAAAAAGCTTATAATCCTAATCTGGATCTTGCCTAGCCTTTCCCTGTTTCTCATTCCTACTATCTTTTTGTTTACTTACATCCACAGAAGATCTAAGACCAGTGTCAATGCAAAAAATTAATCGGAGAAGCAAGATGAACAAACCTGACAAACATTTGATAATTACCTTCTTTCTGGTAATAAAGCCAAATATGAAGTGATACAAAAAGGACTTTTTTTTTTAAAGATTTTATTTATTTATTTGACAGAGAGAGAGAGACAGCAAGAGAGGGAACACAAGCAGGGGGAGTGGGAGAGGGAGAAGCAGGCTCCCTGCTGAGCAGGGAGCCCAATGCGGGACTCGATCCCGGGACCCTGAGCTCATGATCTGAGCCGAAGGTAGACGTTTAATGACTGAGCCACCCAGGCGCCCCACTAAAAAAACTTTTTTAAGAATTGGACTCTGTATTTCTGGTGTCCCTCAAGGTCTACAGAAATAGGAATTCTTTTTTTTTTCATCTCTCTCCAAATGTTGACTATTCATTTTTAAATTAAAAGAACTTAAAGCAGCTCCGTATGTGAAGCAATCTTTCTTGTTCTATGCTATCCAGATCAGGTTTCAGAGCTATAGGACAATGACAGGCCTCAAGATGTGTTTTTGACATAACAAGCCCAGGTCACCCTCCACAGTAAGGTGAAGCTCATGGCCTCAAACCTAAAGAGCTGTTAACCGAGCTCCCTAACATTTCTACAGAGAGTTCCTTCGGAATGATCTCTGGAAACTTATGTTTCAGAGTATCCTATCTAATTCACCATTGTAATTTACTCTGTCAATTTTCTCTAATCTTAAGGATTTTTCCTTGGACAGACCAAGGGAGTATATCAGGTGAGAAGCATCTCATTACTAGTTCCAGGTGTTTTAGTTGATTGTCATTCCAGCCACTTTGTCCATTTGGCTTTTCCTCTTTGTTTTGGCATCATAGTATCTAATGCCCTGGCCTCAGACTGACTTTGTTCATAACTTAACTAAAGAGACCAAACATCACTTGTTGTGTGATTAAAGAAGAGGTGCCTGGGTGGCTCAGTCAGTTAAGTGTCTGACTCTTGGTTTCAGCTCAGGTCATAATATCATCAGGGTCCTGGGATTGAGCCCTGTGTCGGGCTCTATGCTCAGCATAGAGTCTGCTTGTCCCTCTCCCTCTGCTCCACCCCCTGCTTGCACTCTCTCTCAAATAAATAAATTAAATCTTTTAGAAGAAGAAGAGGAGGAGGAGGAGGAGGAGGGAAAGGGGAGGGGGAAGAAGAAATGGATTAGACATTCGTACTAGTGAATGAGGCTCTGCAGTCTGGGAATCTTTTCTTTACCAAAAGGTTCTTTCTAGCCATTCATTCACTTATTCATTTATTCTATAAACATACATTAAACACTTACCATTAGGTTAAACCATGTAAAATTGATGATATGCCATTTTCACCTATAAAAATGGTAAGTTCATATGGTTCAACCTAATTCTATGTCCAGGCACTATGAAACCTACTTTTGGACTTTTGCTTATAAATGGGAGTTGAGAGTTTTTGATACCTAAAATTTCTTTTAATCCTGATTTCTCTTAAATCTTATTATCCCCTCTAACTCCATAAGATTGGCCTTAATTTCCTAGAGCAGATGGTTCCTACTGTTAAGACTTAGAACAGCACTGAACAAATAAGAGAGTAGGATGTGCCTGAGGATCCCACAGTCAGTTTTTTGATAGTTACTGTCCTTGCTTCTTTTAAGTTTCAAAAACTCTTCAAAGAACAGAAACCCAGGACTTTCTTTGTCCAACCGCAGAGAGAATAACAATACTAGCAAAATCTGAGCAAGCTGCTGCATGCCACCCTACTTCCCCCACGACCATGGAGTAGAGAGCCTGGAAATGGCACATATAAATAATAACCTGGAACTTATCTAGAAGAGATTTAAACAAATCTAGTATTCACTGAGGTGATAGGAGTCTATCTCTTAGAAGGAAAGTGGCTTCACCTCTCTGAACAAAGACTTGAAGAATTACTAGTGAATCTGAGAATAACAGAGATCCTGTCCAATTCAACAAGAAAACCTACTAACCACAGCACTACATCCTTTTTCACTTCCATAGTTTAAGGCATGGTTGGAAAAGACTTGAGATGTTTCCCAACACTCTTCTCAATCCATTAGTGTGGAATAATTCTGGTTCCTGGATGTTCCAGTATTACAGTTTCAAAGAATGGTGGAGGGCTGGTAGCAAAACCAAGGGCAGACTCCACTGTATCTAGGCCCCTGCTATAGAATCTCTTCTGTGAACATAATAATGGTGTTTGGGTGTCTGCATCACGCCGAGCCTGTTGCTTTAGTTGGTAGAACTTGTATTGTGTCCAGCTATATACTCCACAGTTGAGCAGACCCTGGGATGATGCTGTTAGAGCCTGGAGGAGATGAAGTGATGGAACCCATCCTTCAGGTTTTCAGAGATCCAGGGAATTGTCCCCATTCCCCTTATTTATACTCATTGTTATATTTGTTTTATCTCAAACAGCAATATCTGGTGTCAGTTTTTTATATTTTTCTAGCTCTTTTTTTTTTATTATGTTCAATTAGCCAACATATAGTACATCATTAGTTTCTGATATAGTGTTCAACGATTCATTAGTTGCATATAACACCCAGTTCTCATCACAACACGTGCCCTTAATACCTTTCACCTGGTTACTCCATCCCCCCACCCCCTACCCTCTGTAACCCTCAGTTTGTTTACTGGAGTCCTGAGTCTCTCATGGTTTGTCTCCCTCTCTGATTTCTTCCCTTTCTAGCTCTTTCTGAACTCACTCTTTACACTGTACCTTGTTATGGATGACTGAAAGTTGGTCATACTTCTTGGCATATACATAAGGAAAATGAACTCATTTCAATGCCCTTCCTTATTACTTCCATTTCCCAGGTCAAGTTTGAGAAAAATGCCCTATCAGTATAGTCAGATAACTCAAAAACGGCTTCATAAGTCTGATTAAAGAGGAAAAAAGAGAATTGTTCTATTTCTGTATTCCTCTCTCCCCATTTACCTAGAATAGCTAATTTATCCCATTCAATTCACTCTGGGTGGGGGAGAATTATGTCACTATCAGTGTTTCATAAAAACATTATTTGGTCGATCTTGTTTTTTTGCTACCCATCCCTTAAAAACACACCAATAAAATGAAGTTAACTAGAGATACATATGCTCTGGGATGCATGGCAGCACTTTCACAAAAGTATCTACCTCATCTGTGAGGAAAACTTCACATTCTTCATAACTGAATATAAATAATACATTTTCTCTTTGCAATATAGAAATAAATATGCTAAGGGAAAAAACTGTGCTTACTGAGTAATGTCAGTGTAAGAAAACAGGATAAGAGGGTATAAAAACAGATGCTGAAGGTGTTACCTGGAGAACACAGAGGACCATGTGAAGTTTCATGTCCTGTGGCTTAGTCAACTTCATGATCATCAGAATGACAGCTGTGAAAACACAAAGTATAAATCTTCTTGCCAGCCCTACCTGTCTGAGCATAAAATTCCCCAATATAGGGACGCCTGGGTGGCTCAGTTGGTTAAGCATCTGCCTTCAGCTCAGATCATGATCCCAGCATTCGGGGATCGAGTCCCGCATCGGGCTCCCTGCTCAGCGGGGAGCCTGCTTCTCCCTCTGCCTGCCGCTCCCCCTGCTCCTGCTCTCTCTCTCTGATAAATAAATAAAATCCTAAAAAAAAATTCCCCAGTATATATGCCTACACACCATGAGAGATAAAGGTATAAGCATAATGAAAGCTAGGAGTGAGATTAACCAGTTACATAAACCACTGGGCCTCCAGTCTCCAACTTCTATTCCTCACTGACTAAACTTTGCAGGTTATTAGTATAGCAATGATGGTAAGACACACTATGGGAGATAAATTACACTTCTTAGTGTTTCAGAATTTACCAAGCTCTTTCATAAGCATTATCCAATCTGATCCTCACTATACTTTCGGTAGTAGAAAGGGCAGGTGTTAATATCTCTGAGCTCTATCAGGATGTTTCCTCTCTTAGGCTGCATCTCATGTCTAATTACCTTAATTTCTAAAACATAGGAATAAAAAGAAGAAAGTGGGACCAACATAGATTTTACGACTGGACAGGAATTTTACAAGTTTCAGTCATCCTTCTTGGTGAGCCCACTTTGCTTGATCAGACCCCAATAGGTGTCCTCATCATTACCTAGCTCTTCCCATTAAGATACCCACCTGGGCCCCAGCAGCAAGAGAAGGCCACTGGGTAAAAGCGTACTCGCTGCTCCACAATGTGAATCACTGCCCACTGTTCACTCCCCAGGAAGCCAGTTGATTTCACAAACTTCTTATACAGAGTCTGCGCTTGGATGAGTAAGACCTAAACATGGGTACATAAGTGAGTAGTTTGCCTGAGGCTTGGTAAAACTTCCCAGCTCTAGCTTCCTCTAGTTGTAGAAGAATCACTTCTCTCAGGATCTGACAGCAGGAAAACTCATTCTCCTGTCTTTACCATTTAAGACTGGCTTTTTCTGAAAGAAAATCATCTTCAGAGTGAACTTTTGCTTAGCCAGGGGAAATGGACAGATATTAGACAAACCTGTGGTTACCATGTTCAATACATAGACTTGACATCAACCTCAGGCTTTTTTTTTTCCCCCCTAACTGAGGCTAATCACAGTATGTATGGGAAGTTAAAGCTAAGATCTAACCAGACCCTCTTTTAAAACACTTTACTAGAGATTGTGTTAGAAAGAAGTCTGTGCATGGGGCACCTGGGTGGCTCAGTCGTTAAGCGTCTGCCTTCGGCTCAGGTCGTGATTCCAGGGTCCTGGGATTGAGCCCTGCATTGGGCTCCCTGCTCGGTGGGAAGCCTGCTTCTCCCTCTCCCACTCCCCCTGCTTGTGTTCCCTCTCTTGCTGTATCTCTCTCTGTCAAATAGATAAATAAAATCTTTAAAAAAAAAAAAAAAAAAAAAAAAGAAAGAAGTCTGTGCTTAATACCCTTAGAATAAACACATCAGCACCCTGGCTGAGCTTAAATTCTCAACTCTAAGCAAAAAAAAAGGTTTAGGAAGTCTCTTCTTGCCCTTAGATGGAAAATAGACTGTTTTCCCCTTCCATCTGGGGGCTATCCATATAAGGTTAAGCTAATGAAACAAATATAAATCAGTTCAGAAGTCCAACGTGCTTTCTGTGGGAAGTAAATTAGGTAATAATCTTGGTAACAAATCTGACAAATCTAAAATTTTCCCTAATAATCCAGACCCACTCTCTAAGTTAATAAGCCAATTATTTTATTAAGTTTAGCCATGTAGTTTCCTTTCCCCAAGGACATAGGAATCAAAAGGAAGCTTTTACTTATTTGGGAATATTTATGTCTAGTAGAATCAGTTCTGATTCTGAATACCCACTGAAGCTTGTGTTATTTAAAGAAGCAATCATACAATCTCACTGATATGAGGAATTCTTAATCTCAGGAAACAAACTGAGGGTTGCCGGAGTGGTGGGGGGTGGGAGGGATAGGGTGGCTGGGTGATAGACATTGGGGAGGGTATGTGCTATGGTGAGCGCTGTGAATTGTTTAAGACTGTTGAATCACTGGGCGCCTGGGTGGCTCAGTTGGTTGGGCGGCTGCCTTTGGCTCGGGTCGTGATCCTGGAGTCCCGGGATCGAGTCCCGCGTCGGGCTCCCTGCTCGGCGGGGAGTCTGCTTCTCCCTCTGATCCTCCTCCCTCTCATGCTCTCTGTCTCTCATTCTCTCTCTTGCAAATAAATAAAATCTTAAAAAAAAAAAAAAAAGACTGTTGAATCACAGACCTGTACCTCTGAAACAAATAATACCTTATATGTTAAAAAAAAAAAAAAAAAAAAAGAAGATAGCAGGAAGGGAAAAATGAAGGGAGGGAAATCGGAGGGAGAGACGAACCATGAGAGACTATGGACTCTGAGAAACAAACTGAGGGTTCTAGAGGGGAGGGGGGTGGGAGGATGGGTTAACCTGCTGATGGGTATTAAGAGGGCACGTACTGAATGGAGCACTGGGTGTTATATGCAAACAATGAATCATGGAACACTACATCAAAAACTAATGATGTAATGTATGGTGATTAACATAACATAATAATATAAAACAAAACAAAACAAAAAATAAAGAAGCAATCAAGTATCCCAGGGGTGCCAGGCTCTGAGATACCTGCCTCTCTTGTCAATCAGTTCTAAATGTAGATCATCAAAATCATCTTAATATAAACTATTCATTTCACCCTCTTTACAAAGTTGCTGATTTGATAACTTATCTCTATAACTTATTTTTGTTTTTTTAAAGATTTTTTTAAAATTTTTATTTATTTGACAGAGAGAGACAGCAAGAGAGGGAACACAAGCAGGGGGAGCGGGAGAGGGAGAAGCAGGCTTCCTGCTGAGCAGGGAGCCCGACGCGGGGCTCGATCCCAGGACCCTGGGATCATGACCTGAGCTGAAGGCAGACGCTTAATGACTGAGCCACCCAGGCGCCCCTCTATAACTTATTTTTTTTTTTTTTAAAGATTTATTTATTTATTTGAGACAGCGAGAATGAGAGAGAGTACATGAGAGGGGGGAGGGTCAGAGGGAGAAGCAGGCTCCTTGCTGAGCAGGGAGCCCGATGCGGGACTCGATCCCGGGACTCCAGGATCATGACCTGAGCCGAAGGCAGTTGCTTAACCAACTGAGCCACCCAGGCGCCCTATAACTTATTTTTAAATTGTTAAAGGAAATTCTCCATAATTTTATTTGGTTTACATGTACCAGCTGCGCTAGCAAAACAAAACATATCCGTGGGATCAATTTGCTCTGCAGGCAGTTTGTAATCCTTGAACCAGCATATGGAGAGAGGAGAAAATGACACTGAAAAGTAGACATGGCAGATAAAAAGGCATATTCACTTGTGTGCTGATTTTGTATTAGGCAGTTATGTGTAAATAACATGTTATTCCATGGCTAATTATTTTAACTGTACATCATTCTGACGATGTCAAATGAGTACTTAGTAAATGCCTAAGCCCCTTAGCATTTTAACCCCAGGTAGACATAGCGTAAATACATTTATAGCTAGTAAAGGATTGAGAAAAGAAAATTCCTTCATTATTTGGAAAATTGTCAAATTAAATCAAAGCACATTTCCTATGTTCTGGGAGTGTTATCCTGTATAAAGGACATACTTGACATATACTAGTTTTCTGGTCTGGTCTTCCATGAGGATCCACAGGAACATATATTAATTAGTCCTAGAGTGAGCATAATTCTCACATAATGACTATAGACTCTTTCCCCACCAATCATTTAATCTTGGGAAGTCCAAATACTGAGGTAGTAATTAAACTGTCAATATCTCTTGGCTACTTTCTTAGTTCTAGGACTTTAGGAAATACCTCTCCATCCCATTTTCCCAGTCCCTAGGAATAATGCCCCATTCCTCCCAATCCCCTCTCTTTCCATAAAAGCAGGTGACACCATACCACAATGGTGAGGAGGCTGAGGAGAAAGGTGGTCAGGAAAATGGTGATCCCATAAAAATAAAGTGTGCTACAGACTGATGTGTTGGCAGAAGGCAGTTCAGCCACGACTGATGGTGGGGAGTACATCAGAATACACCTAGGAAGAGAATCAATGGACAGGACCACTACTACAGATACAAGACTAGAGAGATACCCATTTGGCACAACAAAATTTATTAAATATGCAATTTTTCTTACCATTTTGCTAACCCTTGCCCATAACACCTTATTCCTTCTCATAGATACATTATCTTCCAATCACTTCACATTATATTTCTACTTAAGTATTTTTTGCCTTGACTATACCTTGTTCTATAAATGCTACCAAGGTTCCATAGAACCTTGTTGCAAATACAAGCAACTTGTCCAGAATGTATGTAGAAAGTCTTTTCCATATCTTTATATAGAAAAGAAAATGGAAATGATAGACTTGGTCCTTGCTTACCTGTGGCTCTGGCTGAAGTTGTGGAAACATTCACTAACATTGCCCAGACAGAATACAGGTATCATCAACAGCAGAGGTATCAGGCTGTGAGGGGGAAAAAAAACTTATCACCCTAATATTCAGACATTTTTATGTCTTTCCCCTTCACAAAATACTCTGTTCTTCTCCCAACTCCATCACCCCCCACTCTCCACAAATATATAATTTCTTCAAGAAAAATGGTTCAAAACCCTTACATATACTTCTTGTCCAATTGTTGGGTAAGTGGAGTGGAGAATGCATTTCAAACCTAAATTAATGAACCCTAAAAGAATGTCAGAGAGTCTTTGGGTGTAGGTCGAAGTTAAAGGAAAAAATCTAACAAGGAGTTCTGTGCTAACTTTCTATGACCACCAGGAATAACTTCATTTTCATTAGCCCCTTCCTGGGAGCTTTTTCAAAGCATACGTTTAAATAACCAATTATTTATCCAGCTAAATATAGCCAGCTCCCTGTAAGAGGAAAAGATCCAGAAGTAAAAGTTACAAACTCTGATATGACCACTACATTAGGTGAGATCTAGATCCTTCTGGGGGTAAACAGTTGTAAGACTCTCACCCATTGTTATAAAGGTAGATGAGATCTTGAATGCCATCTGTTATAACTCTTTATGATATAAAAAGGAATTAGAAGTCCAAAGACTTAAAGAGAAATATTTGTTGAAGGTCACATAGAGTTAATGGCAGAATTAAGGTTAAAAATCCAAATCTGTAACTGCTTGCCTATTCTATCTGGGAATATGGTTCCAATGATCATATGTTTGTTGCATCCAACTCAGTAAGGCTCTGTGAGGACCTAGGAGTGATAGACTCAATGGAAATGAAGGGCACTGTCCTCGTATTTGTTCTCACCTAGACCACAGAATAATGAGAGTTTACGCCTTGCTAGAAAGGAAAGCAAAAACCTTACCTTGACAAAATGATGGCTATTTGACCAACGTGACAAGTATAATCTATAACCTGTGAAAAGAATAAATATGAGTAAAGTCTTAGAATATTGCCAGTCATAATATAATAAATATCAGGTCATCATTTAGCACTTGAATGAACAAAAATTCCCAAGAGCCACCTTGCTTCTGTCAAGCAATATTTGCTCCAAAATTCAATCACATAGATAGTTCCTCAGCATTGGAGGCAAGGGAAGTTTATCTGTATTATTACTAAATTCTAAAAAGTACAACAACAACAGCCACAAGGAGAGCCTGCGGGAAGTAACTTAATATAAGACTTGGATACCACAACAAATTCTCTTAAGAAGAAAGGTAAATACAAAATCATACAGTACTCCTCAATCTTCTAGTAATAGTTCAGTTCTATTCTCTTTTAGATCCAGGAAGGTATGGACTTTTCAGATCTTATGGGTGGAGCAGAAGTCTATGTATAAGATGACCAGCAGAAAGCTTAATAGGCCAGGATTAGCATAAGGGAGGAGGGTCAAATAAGCCCTTTGGATATAACATCTATTAGACTCTAGAAGAAAGAACATTCCAAAAACCCCTAGTTGTGTTAGACACTGAAAAATAATTTACAGAAGAATGTTATCTACCCACTGGAAGTTTATGGTAAAAGACTTTGAATAGAACACCTTAAAGTGAAAATAGAATAGAAAATAGCTTTTTTCTGTTCTGAGGTAAGAAATCATATTATATTCTAGAATGGCATTGTTAAAAATCAATAAGCATTAAGTGAGCAGTTAATCAATAATCAGAGATGGGTAACTGATTTGCCCTAAAAACTATGGATCAGGAATAGTAAATGATTTCAAGTAAGTCAGCCATTGTTGACTTTAAGCAAAATGGGAAATAAGCAAAATCAGTCTTTGGTGACCTCTCCCACCTGTGTCCCTTCTTTTTATTCTATCCTCTATCCATCAGGCTAACTTGTATTTAATTCTTGTACTTACCTTCCTGTCAATGAATCTCTGATTTAAAAAAAACTTACTGATAATAGTACCATTTATTCATTCAACAAATTTTTATTGAGTTTCATCATGTGTATGATAATATACCACTTTCATTTGGTCTAGAACTGATCTGTAGGCTCTAGAGAAAGGTATGTGGGGAGGTTTTCCAGATTCATTTCTGGAAATTCATTCATTCATTCATTCATGCTCTTAAACAAAAAATCCCCTTCAAAAAAAACACAAGGGGCGCCTGGGTGGCTCAGTTGTTAGGCATCTGCCTTCAGCTCAGGTCATGATCCCAGGGTCCTGGGATCAAGCCCCGCATCAGGCTCCCTGCTCAGCGGGAAGCCTGCTTCTCCCTCTCCCACTCCCCCTGCTTGTGTTCCCTCTCTTGCGGTGTCTCTCTCTGTCAAATGAATAAATTAAAAAATCTTTAAAAACAAAACAAAACAGGGGCGCCTGGGTGGCTCAGTTGGTTAAGCGACTGCCTTCGGCTCAGGTCATGATCCTGGAGTCCCGGGATCGAGTCCCGCATCGGGCTCCCTGCTCGGCAGGGAGTCTGCTTCTCCCTCTGACCCTCCTCCCTCTCATGCTCTCTGTCTCTCATTCTCTCTGTCTCAAATGAATAAATAAAATCTTAAAAAACAAAAAACAAAAAACAAAAAAAACACAACGGGGTGCCTGGTTGGCTCAGTCAGTGAAGCGTGCAACTCTTGACTTCGGGATTGTAGGTTCAAGCCCCATGTTGGGTACACAGATTACTTAAAGATAAAATCTTAAAAATATATATATATAACAGAATGGATACTGTAGAAATAAGAAAACTGGAATATTTAGTAAGATTTACATAATAAGATTAAAATATATAATGACAGCCAAAGAAATGAAAATTGCTAACATCATAAAAATGGTTTTTTTTAAATGATTTTATTTATTTGAGAGAGAGCAAGATAGAGCACGAGCAGGGGAAAAGGGCAGAGGAAGAAGCAGACTCCTTGCTGAGCAGGGAGCCTGATGCAGAACTTGATCCCAGGACCCCGGGATCATGACCTGAGCCGAAGGCAGACACTTAACTGACTGAGCCACCCAGGCGCCCCTAAAAATGTTGTCTACGAAGATCACTTAGTAATACACTGAAAGAATCAGGAATAAGAAACTGATATGAAAACAATGGATCGTGGATCACATCAAAAACCAATGATGTTTTGTATGGTGACTAACATAACATAATAAAATTTAAAAAAAAAGGAATAAGAAACTGAGTGTACTAGACAATGGAATACTATTCAGCACTAAAAAGGAATGATTATACATGCTATAATGGATAAACTTCAAAAGCATTATGCTAAATGAAATCAATCAGACATAACAGACTATATATTGGATGATTCCATCTATATGAAATGTCCAGAAAAGGAAAATCTATAGAGTCAGAAATTAGATTAGCAGTTGCCTAGTGCAGGGGGTGGGAAGGAAATTAACAACAAATGGGCATGAAGATTTGACTAGGGCGAAGAAAATATTCTAGAATGGATTTATGGTATTTTACAAGCTAGTAAGTCTCCTTTAAAAACCACTGAACTGTAACTTAAAATAAACAAATTATGTGATATGTAAAATACACATACACACACAAAAAATCCAGATGTACTTAGTGTTCTCCTCTCTTTTATAAATGTAATACTAGACAGTGCCCCAAACCCTCTTTGAACCAAAGAAGGGAAAACAACTACTCCCTGGATCCGTCTTGTTTTCTGATTACCACACATGAACCCCTCTGCCCTTCAGAAAACCAGTATCTGTTATCCGCACATACTGAATAAATACAGCAGAGCAAAACAGACATTCTCCCTTTCCAATACCTGTAGCCCAAATTCCATGTGAGCAAACTGAGCACCATCCCTGACTCTACCCAAGATCTTATTCTTTTAAAAATTTTTTTTTTTTAAGATTTTATTTATTTGCGAGAGAGAGAACGAGAGACAGAGAGCATGAGAGGGAGTGAGAGGGAAGAGGGTCAGAGGGAGAAGCAGACTCCCTGCCGAGCAGGGAGCCCAGTCTGGGACTCGATTCCGGGACTCCAGGATCATGACCTGAGACGAAGGCAGTTGCTTAACCAACTGAGCCACCCAGGCGCCCCCAAGATCTTATTCTTTGCTCTAGTGGCAATGATGGATTGGCATGGAGCTAAGAAGGATGGAACCAGGCAGTAAGGATAGTACTGTATGTAAATTACGTTTCCTAGATTCAAAACCTTTTTATTTTTTTGATGGCAAGAGAGAAGAGGAAATCTTTTCAACAGAATGGAAACTGTGAGAACATGATTGTTCTTTTATTAACCTCCATGAATTCACCTACCCAGTGCTGAGTGCTTACACTGTTTATCAAGGACATATAGATTTGTTTTAGCATACTGTTCTTAACTATTAGCTCTGAATAAAACTTACCAATGGAAATGTGCTCTGTCCACTCTGGTTGTGTCTCATCCTCAGCTCTTTGTACAGATACCAGATGTAATTGACGGTGTAAAGAAATGAGGAAATGTAGAATATCTAGGTGAGAATCAAAAAAACTCATAACTGTCCCACTCTGACTTCTTTCAATTTATTACATTATTTTCTGCTATAAGAATCCTACCTAATGGTCTATTAGTAACTTACCGTCTAACATCCATAACATGCAAAACTGGGCCATGTCTGGGAATTCTGCCTAGCCCTACCTATTATATGTCTTGGATTCCTTATTTTATCCTTTTGACTATTTAGAGGAACCACAGCATTAGCCACCTCCTCTCACCCAACTATTCTACTATTATGAAGCTATCCTAAAGTATTTTTCTATTTTATTTTTTAATTGGAGAGAACATAAGGATTTCCATTTCTAATAATGATAGCTTAGGCTATTTGAACCAAATTTCCCATTTAAAAAAATTAAACATGCTGGATGAAATATTTTTTAAATCCTTAAAAGCATCAAAGAACTGACAAGATAGCAAGGAATCAGCAGGACAAAATCCCAGAGAAAAAAATTTCTGCTTCCATCTTTCTTGTAATCTTTTTTTTTTTTTTTAAGATTTATTTATTTATCTGAGAGAGCGAGAATGAGAGAGAGTGAGTACATGAGAGGGGGGAGGGTTAGAGGGAGAAGCAGGCTCCTCGCCGAGCAGGGAGCCCGATGCGGACTCGATCCAGGGACTCCAGGATCATGACCTGAGCCGAAGGCAGTCGCTTAACCAACTGAGCTACCCAGGCGCCCCTCTGCTTCCATCTTTGATAAAATAATAGAAACAGAATTTGCCCTTCAGCCTTAAAAATGAAAAATTGGGAAAATATGAAACAACTGGTTTTCAAATATTAGGTAACAATCAGTGCAGAACAGTAATCCCTGAAAGAAGAAAAACAAGCAAATGTCCCATCTCACTGGCAGGAAAAAGTGAGTGCAGTGAGGGGGAATCCAAACAGATGGGCTGTCTTGGTGAGTGAGGAGACAGAGTTCAGAGTTTGGAGAGGCCAAAGAGCTACAATACATGAAGCAGATTGTCTGAGAAGAGGTAGCCACACAGATATAGTGCTCTGGAGATTTGCAGGGGTACCCTCGAGTCCTTGATTAAGTATTGATCTATGCATGTGAGACAGAAAACCATGAAGACTAGGAACAGAACAACCAGAGAGGAATAGGTGAAACAATCTCCAAAGCAATAGTTTGTGTTTCCATCAGCCAGAGTGGAGAGACTTCCTAACATATAGGCAGGAAATGAGGGTCCTACAGAATAATAAGGTAGAATCATAAGAAGAGTATCGCCTCACTAATGGGACGAAATTAGCTCTACATCAAAGACTGCCCAAATGAAAGTTTAAAAGCAAGACTTAGAAAAATAAGCAAGCCTTGAAAGGATCAGATAGAGTCAGAGTTAGTGACATCCAAGACAAAATCAAATTTAAAGGAATATATATATATATAAATATATATATGTATGTATGTATGTATATATGTATATATAAATCTAATAACCAATAATGTAAACTCTGCAATGTCTGGCATCTAATAAAATCTTATAAATCTTGGTTGGCTGTGAGCTCCGCTGAGGAGCCAGAGGTTGGGCAGCTGCTCCAGCAGCTCCCTAGTCGCTCCTGATCCCTGGCCCCTCAGTGGCATAACATGCAGGTGATGCTGAAGTGGCCCATGGAGTTTGTGGTGGTGCTGCTGAGCCCTGGTTCCCCAAAATGGCAGCACCTGCCCCTCTGTCCAGCTCCACACATGATCAGATTATGCGAGAATATGGGACAAGATCAACAAGCCTGAAGCTTTCCTGAAGCCTGTCCTGAAGCTTTCTTGCATATCTGGGTACCAGGTTTTACCTGAAGAGATGGCTGCCATACACTTTTTGTAGCTGGTTTGATAATCACATTTCAGCTCCAACTTTGCATCCTGAGAACATTTAAACATTTCTGTAGGTCCTTTTTAAAATACAACTTGAAAGACCTTAAAACTTTCTGCTTGCCACAAGCATATCTTTCTTTTCTGCTTATCAGTAAACAACTGTGACCTATTGTGATAGGTTTTCCAAACAAAAATACCTGGAGCAGCAGTTTAGCAAAAGGTGTCCTCAGTGCCACTCAACAAATGGGAGTTTTCCCAAGCACAATTCTGTAAGAAGTGTGTGTATGAATGTATGTGTGTGTGTATTTTAAAATATTATTTGCATTGTGCAAATTTGTTTGATCTTGTGGATTTTGGCTGTGAATTTGATGTGCCACAATTATGGTTAAAAACACTTGCTTGGGGGCGCCTGGGTGGCTCAGTTGGTTAAGCGACTGCCTTCGGCTCAGGTCACGATCCTGGAGTTCCTGGATCGAGTCCCGCATCGGGCTCCCTGCTCAGCAGGGAGCCTGCTTCTCCCTCTGACCCTCCCCCCTCTCATGTGCTCTCTGTCTCTCTCATTCTCTCTGTCTCAGATAAATAAATAAAATCTTTAAAAAAACAAAACAAAACAAAACACTTGCTTGGTCTACAGAAGATCATTAATGTTTTGTGACCGTATAAGTTATAACGGTAGATTGTTTTATGTGTAGGTATTATTGTTAAATACATGGACTATTTCACGGCAAAGAGTATGAATCATGAGTTAGAATGACATAGATGTGATTATGGTGACATAAAAACTGTTGTCCTAGGTCTACAAATGCTTGATGAGGAATTAGGACAAACTGGAGATGGGTTGTTTAACACATGGACTCTGCCCAGCCATGTTGAAAAATACTTTTGACTCCAGGCCTTAAAATAGCCATGTGGAGTCTGTGCTCACCTCATTCACACAGAGAGCTCCCTGGACAGTGAACCTCTAAAAAGAAGAAGTTTTCCTCAGAGCAGGAACACAACACAGGTGAGCAGGGGGCAGTGGCACTGCTACTTGGAAGGAGCCATTTCACCCCTATATCTGTTACTAAAAACTGAATTTGGATCCTTTGGTCAAGTTCCCCCAAATTCTTTTTAAGAACTGCTTGAGCTTTGTTATTGCAACTCCCTGCCAAAACTTACAGACTGTTCATCACCTTGTTTCCAAGGCTGAGGAACAGAAAGTAGCCTCTGTTTTGAGGAGGTGGAAGTACACATTTTTTACTGTTACTTGTTTAGAACCACCTTTTACAAAATGCCTTGTTTCCTTTATTATTGTTTCTGGAAAGGAAAGTTTTATTAAAATTGTTTTAGTTTGAATATAAAATAGTTTTATAAATTAGGGCTTATTTTGAAAAATTCTGAGTTCAACTCAAATGTATCCCTGTACCTTTCTCTCTCTTTTTTTTTAAGACTTTATTTATTTGACACACACAGAGAGAGAGAGAGAGAGAGCACAAGCAGGGGGAGTGGCAGGCAGGCAGAGAGAGAGGGAGAAGCAGGCTCCCCGCTGAGCAAGGAGCCCGATGCGGGGCTCGATCCCAGGACCCTGAGATCATGACCTGAGCCGAAGGCAACTGCTTAACAGACTGAGCCACCCAGGCACCCCTCCCTGTACCTTTTAAAGTAAGGTAATAGGGGCGCCTCGGTGGCTCAGTCATTAAGCGTCTGCCTTCGGCTCAGGTCATGATCCAGGAGTCCTGGGATCGAGCCCCATCTCTGCTTGGCGGGAAGCCTGCTTCTCCCTCTCCCACTCCCCCTGCTGTGTTCCCTCTCTAGCTGTGTCTCTGTCAAATAAATAAATAAAATCTTAAAAAAAAATAAATAAATAAAGTAAGGTAATAATCAGAGATAGTTATTCTGATCAGATGGCTTAGAGAAATTTCTGGAATGTTCATATTCTAAGATTCCTTATTAATGAATGTCTGACTTAAATCTAACCAAAATCTGTAACATTATTCTTTGTAGATTTTCATTATATAGTGTTAACAAGCTTACTTGTGAACAAATAAAATATTTCAGCTATTTGTTTACCTTGCCTTTTTAAAAGATTTTATTTCTTTTTTGGGACATCTCTTCCCTGGCTTGTACTATCTCTCTCTCTTTCTCACTATCTCTCTCTAATAAATAAATCTTAAAAAATTTTAAAAATTCTAAAAAAGATTTTTTTTTAAGATTTTATTTATTTGAGAGAGAGAGAACAAGCAGGAGGGAGGGGCAGAGGAAGAGGGAGAAGCAGACTCTCTGCTAAGGAGCCTGACACAGGGCTCGACCCCAAGACCCAAGGATCATGACCTGAGCTGAAGGCAGACACTTAAGTGACTGAACCACCCAGGCACCCCAAGATTTTATTTATTTATTTGAGAGAGACAGAGCATGAGCAGGGCAAGGGACAGAGGGAGAAGCAGACTCCCCACTAAGCGCAGAGCCCCATGCCAGCAGAACTTGATCCCAGGACCCTAAGATCATGACCTGAGCCGAAATCATCTGCTCAACCAACTGAGCCACGCAGATGCCCCTTACCTTGCCTTCTAAAAAAAATATTATAAATATACAATGAAGCAGGAAAATATGGCCCATGCCCAAGAGAAAAATTAATCAATGGAAATGGGACTCAGAAATAGCAGATCATAAAAATCAGTAGACAAAGATGTTAACAAAATTATAACAAATATACTCCATAATGTCCAAGAAGATAGAGGAAAATAGACAAGTAGAGATATGGAAGATATAAAAAAGACCCAAACTGAAATTCTACAGATGAAAAATACACAAAAATAAAATATGACAAAGTAGAAACTGCAAAAGAAAAGATTAGTAAACTTAAAAATATCGAAATAGAAAATATCTAAAATGCGGGACGCCTGGGTGGCTCAGTCGGTTAAGCGTCTGCCTTCAGCTCAGGTCATGATCCCAGGGTCCTGGGATCAAGTCCCGCATCGGGCTCCCTGCTCCGCGGGGAGCCTCCTTCTCCCTCTGCCTCTGCCTCTCACTCTCTCTCTCATGAATAAATAAATAAAATCTTAAAAAAAAAAAAAGAAAATATCTAAAATGAAACAGAGGAAAAAGACTTAAAAAATGAGCAGGGGCACCTGAGTGGCACAGTCAGTTAAGTGTCCAGCTCGATTTCAACTCTGGTCATGATCTCAGGGTTGTA